ACACATAACATCAATGATATACCACAACAATAGTGAAATAGGTATTGTGTTTATCAATGTAAATTATTAAAATCAATTAACATCCAACAACTGTTAGTAAATAGAAGATGGTTGTTTTTAGGTTGTTCATCATTAACATCAATTAATATACCAACATCAATTAGTAAAATAGGAGCTGATTGTTTTTATGAATGTTCATTATTACCATTTATTAATATACCAACATCAATTGGTGAATTCAAAATTAATTGTTTTGCATGGTGTTATTTATTAACATCAATTGACATTCCAACAACAATTAGTAAAATAGGAAGATCTTGTTTTAGAGAATGTATATCATTAAAATCAATTAACATTCCATCAACTGCTATTGAAATAGAAGAGTGTTGTTTTTATGGATGTTCATCATTAACATCAATTAATATACCATCATCAATTATTAAATTAAAAGATGAATGCTTTAGTGGATGTAAATCATTAAAATCAATTATCATTCCTTCATCAATTAGGATTATGGGAAATGATTGTTTTAAAGAATGTTATTCATTGATATCAATTAATAAATTTTGACGTAGACGTTTTTATAAATGTGGATGTGAAGAGGAATTAATGAAAAATAAAAGAATACCAAGAATTTGTTTTAAATGGTGGTAGTGAATGAAATAAAAATACAATAAATGAAATACAATATAAATTGAAGTAGAAATAAATTATAATTGATTATCATTTATAATATTATTATTCTTTTCTTATTTATTCTTTTTGATATTATTCTTTTTTATTGTGTTAAAATATTTATTATTATTTATTGTATATGTTTATTAATTCTTATATATTCTATTTTATCATATTTATTTATTATCTTTTATATCTTTATTATTATTTTATTATTGTTGATTATTCTTATATTCTATATTTTAACTTATGATTTTCTATTATTAAATATAAATTAAATGAATTTGATATTATAGATAAATAAATATCAATTTTATTAATCTATTTGTATTTATATAATATAAATATCAATAAAATTAAATTATAAGTTAAATTAAATGAAATATGAATATGAATAATATTAATAAGAAATGAAATAATTAAATAATAAGAATATATTTAAAATATAAATATCAAATACAGAATAAAATA